TCAGAGTAGAGCCACTGTTTCACCATGGTGAAAAGAGATTGAGGGGGATCAGGCATTTGGTCAGGATGCTTCCTGCATGCAGGTGTTCTGGCTATGTCCTAATAGGAAGACCCAGGATGTGTTGCAGGGATTATATCTCTTGGTTAGCCTGGCAACCCCTTGGCATCTCCCTCGAAGAGCTGGAGGAAAAAGATGGTGAAAGAACGTATGGGAGGTCTTACTTAATTAGTTACTACCAGGACTTGATCCCAGATAAGCAGAAGAGAGAAAGAATGAATGCTTGCAAGCTTTAGTAGTGTGCTTTATTAACATAAATAAATGTTAACGGGCTAGATAATAAGCCATGTTTGTAAATTTTTCAATTTAAGACTATTTAATTTTTTTTCCCCTAGGTGGCTCATCTTTTCTGGTGTCTATGGGCTCTCCTGCAGGCAAAACATTCCACCATTGACTTTGACTTCCAGAGGTTGGTTACCTTACTTTTTAAATTAGTAATCAATTCCCAATATTTGGCAAACTGAGGGAAAATATAATGTAATTGAAACATTTGGGTTTGTGTTTGAAATTTCTGTCAGAGCTGTAACACAGTGGACTGTGCAAATGGGCAGGACATATATAATCTTTTTGCTCATAGACATCCTGATTTGAGTCTCTGTCCTATCCCCCATGTCCCATAATCCATATGAAGCCAATGCCAGGTACAGTGTTTCACGTCTGAGCTCATTATCTGTAATGCGGTCACACCTTCACGCAAGCTATTAATATGGTGATCATCAAACCTGTAAACCTTCATCATCTCGATAAACAAAGCAGCATGATTCATTAGAAAATGCATTGTGAGGAATAAGCCTTGTATTTATCTCAGAAGAAGAATAGGATTCAACGCGGGGCTTGAGCCAGTGGAGGACATCATTCTGTTGAGTAAGTGATTTGTGACCCATGCTGGCAAAATGAGTCGGAATGTACACAGGCTAATTTTGAGCTACAGGCAAAAAAAGTGAAAAATTTGAGGTTTTCACAAAATATAATTTCATTAAGCCCTCGTCTAGCGATCCCAGTGCTCCAAACAGTAATTAAGCATTTAAAATGATTTTCTGAGAGGAGTACCTTTTCTCTGTTCGCTTCTCACGCTGACTCTCATCTGAAGTGCCCGCATAAAGACGACACCCACGGCATTCTATCCCGATATACATACACATATTTGCAGTAGGCTAAATGTATTTAAGTATTCATGCAATCATAATCTGCTATATCTTAAGTTAAAGTTTGGGTAATTGTTGGGGAAAAACATCCGATGTGTAACATTATATTTGATCCGTGCATTACACTGTTGTAGCAATGCCATATAAGAGGTGATTTATTTATACTGTCGTTGATTAATACTCATGTATTGTTGATCGTTTAATCTAATTATCACCCAGTTTTCTGTATTGTTGCCTCTATATGTGTGTGTGTATTTGCCCCAGATGAAGTCAGTCTCGCGATATTTGATGTGTACACAGTAAATTCCCGAGTGTTAAATTAACACTGCTTGGAGCATATATGGTCCCACTCTAAAAGAGTGTTAAAGTAACACTGAAGCAGTGTTAAAATTAATGAGATAATTATGTGATTAATTAAGTTCTGATTGATCATTAGTGATGAACAGCTGCTGTTAACAAGCAGAATCACTGAAGAAAAGAGAAACAAGGATTACAACTGACTTCAGCCACAGCCTTAGATAAAATCAACTGAAATAAAAGAAGACATTAAATCTCTCAAGATCTCAGCAGAAGATGATTAATCATCTCCACAAACAGCATCACCAGCTTCACACATTACTAACCAGTT